AAAGAAAATATTGGATGATGTGCCAATAATATGGGAGTATGCTGACGTGTTTCCCGATGATCTACTGGGTATTCCGTCTGATAGATAAGTGAAATTCACGATAGATCTGGTACTTGAAGCTACTCCTATGTCCAAAGCTTCATATTGAATGGCACCAAAGGAATTACTAGAGTTAAAGATGCAGCTAGAAGAACTTCTAGACAAAGGGTTTATTAGACCGAGTGTATTTCCATGAGGAGCTCCGGTACTCTTTATAAAGAAGAAAGATGGTATTATGAGGTTGTGCATTGACTACCGTGAATTGAATAAGTTGACGGTAAAAAAATAAGTATTCTCTTCCTAGGATTGAAGACCTATTTGATCAGTTGAAGAGCGCATCCGTATTCTCGAAAATTGATTTAAGTCCGAGAATTCGGTGCGTTACATTGTCCAAGTATATCCCATGGAGATCTCTTCCAAGGGGGTTGTCCCAAGTTATATTTAGTTATGAGAGGTATAATTTTGAACATTTTATTTCTTGTAATGGAATGGGATAGGTGTGAAACACCTTCGATTTCTCCTTTATAGTGGAAAAGCAACTTTTGCTAGTGGATATAACTCTAAAATTGAGGGTGAAACCATAAATCTGTGGATGTTTGGTGTATTTTCTTTCTGTTTATGATTGCTATCGGAAGGAGGCCTTAGCTCTGAATTACCAAAACGTTTCAGTGATAGAGCAGTACGAAGAGATTGAAGGGTGCAATCCTGGAGAAATTTCGACTGTTGACCTCCAAAATGTTCAGAAGTTGAGGGAGGAACTTTGTGAAATAAATGTATATATATCTTCAAATTTTTTATTTTTCAATATGTGCATATCCGTTGTCTCCCTATCGAGTATTTCCGTTGTGTAGTCGTTGAACGAATCAGAGATCCCCGATTCTCTTCTTCAGAGGCTGTTAGAAGATGGTACAACAGAATGTTCTCCTGTCTGTGTCATAATTGGTGGAATTCTTGGACAGGTATCAGCATTTTAGCTTCCATCTTGAGGATATACTTTTTCCCCTAGCAGCCTGCTTGCCTAAGCTTAATTAATTACTTGGATTTAGGTTTTATGTTTCTCATAAGCAAAAAGAGTTTACTTATTTTGACAGTGCTAAATAATGGTTACTTTATACATTGTGGGATCCCTTATTGATTTGTTTATCCATCTGTTATTGGAAGTTATTAAAGCAATATCAGGTAAAGGAGATCTTCTCAAATATTCCTTCTTCTTTGATGCAATGGATGGCAAAGGCATAGTTGAAGACAACTCTCATGTGCAAGTGCTCGAGACGGAATTCAGAATGGTTATGGGATCAGTCGAGCATGTTGAAAACAATATTGAGAGACCTATAATTGATGGGATACAGTATTAATGTATTCCTCGCATGAATTGAATAAGACTAGTTTGATGTTTGATATTAGTGCACATTATATATAGACCTCGTGCGTAGATTATTCAAAATTAATAAACAATCACAGTAAAAAGAAGCTTCAACTACGAGCTCAAGAAAAGTTACGAGATTTTTCAAGAAATTTAGATCAGAATATACACATACAAGTGTGTGTTACAATGTCCCTCCTACGAAGATTATGTCAAAATGAATGAATTGTTGGACAATAATGGATTGTCAGTGACAAACATGAGCAAAGTCGTTCAATATTTCAATAAAACTCAAGAAAGCAAGTTTTCTTACACGTGACTTGTCTGTAATAACTTTTTTATATTTGTTTGAAGTAGTGCATCGTCTACTAAGTGCGAATTGATATATCATTTGGCATGCGTGACATATATCTGATGGTCCAAACAACTTGAATGGTGTTCAACCATCCATTCAATATTTCTTGGCCCCATGTTTTCAAGCGAGATTCCATTATCATTTACTCTTGAGGAAGTGCTACAGGTACAGTAAGGTTGATAGCTCTCTCACATATAAGGCTGGAACCCCATGTTAGTGAGAAGACTGTATGTTTGTACAGCACTATATCGTTTCCCTTACTTTTGAGTGTGTTTCCCTCTACATTTCATAAATTCCTGTCTAATTCTGTTCAATATTTCATGAAATTCACAATTTGTATCATTTTTTCACTCACATGTTTCATCAATTTCATTAAAATTTACCAGGAATCTAATTTTTAACTAAATCAAATAGGGGCTATTTGCTAAATCTCCGTTAGATGACAAAGATTATTATCTAAACAGTAATGGGATCTTAAACTTCATAGACGACCGCTTAGAGCAACTCCAATATGATAATGTGCATTGTTATGCATGTGTCAATGTATAAGGGAGAGAATGTGGAGAAAGCGCTAGACAACATTCTCCATATTTTCTTTTATGATGTAAATATTTTGGACTTATGTGGCACACTTTTTTGTTCCGTCAATGGCCCAACAAAGATGCTAAAATTATTGTGAATCCATGTGCATTGAATGAAGAACGAAATTATTTGAGTAATGCTAGGTGTACAAATAAGGGTTCATAGAATCCTACCGACACCTCACAATAGGAGAGTGAATTATTTTTTTGTCATTTTTTTGGGTGGGCCCACGTCATTGTGAGTTTTTTGGTAGGATTTTATGAACCCTACTTCTGCACAAATAGAAAAATTGAAATTATTTATGCCAAGGGTTTTGAAGATTTCACAGTGATTTAACCATTCACTAAAGTTGGAAATGTTCTCAGCTTCTCAATTTAACCCATGCATGTTTGATGCTGTTAAAAATTAAATTTTTAGTAAATTTTGATTAAAAAAATTGATTCGATGTGTTGTTGAATAATATGAGATTAATGAAATAATATACAAGATGAAAATTAATTGTTTACGTTAACTTAATTTTTGTCAACGCACCAAACAAGGGCATAGTTCCTCTCAATTGCATATGCAGTGACGTGTCAAATAATCTAAATCAAATTTTCATATACAAAAGCGGAGGCGAACTCACACTGAAGCCCGGTGAGTCACGTGACCCATCAATTTTCAAAATTGAAGGTTTTTTTTTTTTTTTTTTTTTTAAATAAGAAATAAAAAAAAATCAATCCTTTTGAACCTACTGTCAGTAACTGGCGGTATGCCTTTCGGCAACCAGCGATTAGCGGCCCGCAAAACCCCCAACAGGTGTTAATCAGATGCATTTTATCCTTTATTATGTATTTTATTGATGTATTCGATTTGCCTGGACAGATCGCATTCACTGAGTTTAAACATTCTACTTGATTTTGATGTTGTCTTGATGAATTAATTAATCAAAATTCAGTATCATTGATTTTCATCTTTTACATGATGTTTTATCTTAAGTAAAATGATTTCTATACAGTTGAATAAAGTGCTTTAGGAAATTTGGTTCAGTTGTGTAGGCTATGAACTGAAGAAAAGACTATTTTTTATTTATTTATTTTTTTTTGTAAAAATTAAAACAAAAAGAAAAGAGTAGGACTGTGGGAGAACCCCTGTGGCCGAGGAGGAGGGAGTTAAGATGCAGAAAAAGGCTCTTCTCTTGTGTCATTTGGTTACTATCCAGTGAAGACTAGGCTTCCTTAATGTGCCTATTTAGCTCCCACCTTAACCGGGAATGTTCGTGAGGTATTAATCATTAATCAATCTGTGGGGATGTGTTGCCAAATTCAATTGAAACAGTTTATCGAATTTGGGAGGCAACTTTCATTTTTGCAGTCATCTGTATATTCTTCTTTGCATAAGTAAAAAGGAAGCTCTAGTTTGTGGCTGAGAAGATATTTTTCTTTAGTTCTACTTGCTATGCACTAAGATTTAATAATTGTTTAGAAGTGATCTGTTTTGATCCCAATAACTTGTCCCAGCCTACATGCTTATTAATTGTTAGAATATTTTTTTATCTTCTTAGCATTTTTTTTTTTATAGAAAAACAAGATCAGAACAGAGATAGATTTCTCTGATTTTATATAAAACCAAACCCCCACTTGTTTTCACGAAAAAGATTTAGGCCCGTTTGGGAGCGATTTTGAGAATTGATTTTTCGACCGTTAAAAGAAAAGTGGAAACCACCTGTAAGAGAAAAAGTCAAACTTTATGACTGAAATAGTAAAATAACAGTCAAAAAATTAATTTTTTTGAATGAAAATCACTCCCAAACGGCCCCTTCATTTCTCTGATTTTATATAGATTTAAAACCGGCAATGTGTTTTTGTTTTCATGATTTAAACAATTTCTCGATTTCTTTAAATGGATAAAGGTGTGGGTGGTAATGAACGAAGGCAATACAATTTCTCCAAAAGTTAAGTTTTTGTTAGCCTTCTTGATTATGTCCCCCAAATTTAAAATACTTGCTTCCACCACTTGACTAAAGTAGAAATAAAATATCGCCCACGCTATATAGTTTATCATTCTAGCTTAAGCTATGATTAACCAATTAAAACCTTCATTTTGAAAATTTAATTCGTATTCACATCGAAATTAATATTAATATACATAAACAATCAAATTTAAATAATAAAATATGTGACTAATACTTGAGGGCGTTTTCTAGAGATATCGTGAAGAACGGTTCGGTGTGTACGAAGATGTTCCTACAACAAAGAAAAGCAGAAAACTCACATGGGGTCCTCCATGTGAGTTTTATATTAAAAAAACAAATCACCCATTCCGTGCATGTGTGTGTTTTATATCTTTTCCGTATTTTCATTTTTTTGTACACGAAGATGGCCCTATCGTGAAACCACCAACCAGCTGTTGGATTCAAAAAAGTTCAAAAAAGTATGGTGGTGAAGTCGAATCGACCCATCATTTTAACTGAAAAGCAAATTAAAGTAAAATGCATATTAATTTTGACAATATCTAGGCAAGATAAGAATGCTGGTTCTTGTCAAAAAGACGAAAAGTATTAAACAAACAAAGATCAAGTACTTTCCGAGAAAAAAAATATACCAGACATAATTATACAATATACTCTTATTCAAGGTATGTGACAAAGATTATAATAAACGAAAACGAAAAAGGCACAAAATTCTACAGCTTCCTGTAGATTTATACTACGAAACCCAGACATGACCACATGTAGAGCACAACAACATGTCATGGAACAGTTATCCATGTGCGGTGTGCCCCCTAACTCCATCCCTTGTTCATCCCAAATTTCACATAACTGAACATGCATTAGGGTTTTCATCACTGAAGATCTGTGGAGCATATCCAATATCAATATGTTCTTGGACAAATCTTTGATTTTCGTCAATGAAGATCTGTGGAGCATATCCAATATCAATGTGTTCTTGGACAAATCTTTGAGGTTGAATCTGATAGTTTTGAGGGTAGTAATGATAGAATTCATTCTTTTTCAAGTCTAATTTAGTGTCATCCTCGGGTTTAGCCGGTGGTTCTTCGCCGCCACCTCCTTCCTTGTTTTCTTTCGCCTCTTCACCACCTTTCTTGGCTTCCTTTTTCTCACCCCCGGTCTTCTTCTCGTCTTTACAGTCTTTTTCTTTCTCTTTTTCATCCTCTTTTTTATCCGGCTCTACCTTCACGATTACTGCGTGCTTTCCCGTTCTCTTGTATACATAATCAACGAGATCTTCAGGCTCAAACATGCCTTTCACTGTCACTTGTGAACTCTTTAGATCTGGCTCTGCACTTTCCGCTCCTACAAATCAAAACTTGACCATGTTAACACATTATAAGCATGTTTAGCTAACTTATTGTCATCAAAAGAAGAAAAAGAAAAAGAGTGAGTTCAATTTCTTTCTTATATACTTATAAAACATGCTATAAGCCCGTTAACAATACATTTGGGGTCGACTATACGCTTCTGCGAGACAATTGCATGTTTATGAATGATCCATCTATGCCAAAAACTTCACAAAGATTCTTGAGGGATTAATCTTGATTAAAATACTTATGTTGAAGTGACGCAGAATCTTAAGAATTGAATATTATAGATGAAAATAAAGAGAAGAATTGAATACAATTATTTTTGCACATACAGCAGAAAAGGGCTATAAAGGCAAAAAAATAATAACTACTGTATGAATCTTCAAAAAATTAAAATAAAGAACTTTTTTATCGGTTGAGGTTTAAAATAAATTTAAGGAAACAATGAAGTTACCTTTCATTCTCTGTATTCTCTTCCTGATTGCTTGAGCACAAGCCTCACAATGCATGTAAACATGCAAGATTACTGTAATCACCGGAGGCTAAAAAGGTAAAAAAAAAATAAAAAAAATTACAGTTATTTTCTAACAATAAAATAATTCTTTTACAAAATTTTAAAAAATACAAACCTCCGGTTTTTTCTCTTCGGCTTTAGCCATCTCTTTTTCTTCCGGTTTCTTAGGTTCTTCCGCCACCGGTTTTGGGATTGGAGAGAGAAGCTCCACCTGCCGGTGGCTCTTCCTTTGAACCCTTTCCAAAACCTTAATTGGATCTGCCTTCTCACCTTTCACAATCACCTTACTCGTCTTGCAATCTGTTATTACATCCTCTACCCCTGCAACATAAATTTAGAATCGACTATATATATAAATCCTTTTCTTTGTCCTTCTATTCGTTCATATACCTCCAAACGAGACAACAATTTAAAATCTGAATAAGATCTAATTACCTTGGAAGTCTTTGAGGCATCTTCGGACTTTTCTGGCACAACCTTCACAATGCATGTAAACTTTCAGGATGATTTCTTGCGGTGGAGGCGGTGGTGGCGCCGCCTCTTTGGATTCCTCAGATTTCTTTTCTTTCGTTTGCTCACTGGTTTTCTCATCAGCTTTTGGTGCTTCTTCTTTCTTCGCTTCTTCCTCGGGCTTCTTCGCTTTCTCCAGTTTCTTTTCTTCCTGCAAGACAAAAAATACACATAAAACATTAGTTTCAGAGCAAAAAATAAAGATTTTACAGCATGTTTGTGACATATATGTAATTATAGGTACCTCCCCCATTGGTTTTCCTCTGGTGTACCGGGGATAGTTTCACACACACTCACTATGTTCTTCTCTCTCTATCTATAAACTCAAAGAGAGGATGAACTTGAGTTGCAGGTTTTAGCCAACAGATCTAAGAGGCACTCGATGTGTCATCATATAAGTGACGTGGCTCTTATATAGGTGGCACGTGCACTAGAAGCGAATTTAAGCAGATTCATGAAACTAGCACATTCACGACTTCGGTATGCGTTAATTGTTGTATAGAAAATCAGAAAGACACTGTACTTGATCCTATCATAAATGAACCCTGCTACAGTGATCCCAACAGGGCCGGTGGCCCTATTTGAATAAATAGAAGAGGAAATCTCCTCATCCGCCCTCCAGGGCATAATTCAGTATTGCAAAAGATAGAAGTGAGATAGTTTCAACCTTATTAGTAGTCGCAGTGTGAGGGTTCAATTCCTGATATATGAAATTGGACTCTGTATGAACACTAGTATACGTGCAATCTCTTATTCTCTGATCTGTTGGGGCACATCCACATCCTATAATTTATCTCCCTCATGATACTCCAAAAACTGAACAATGAATAGCTGGGACTGTCAAAATTGGGGTTCAACCTTTTAAAAATCTCTCATCCAAGGCAACATGCCTATTTGGCACCACCCTATGCTCGTGTGGCCTTGGATTTCTAGCCTCCCTCTATACAAGGCACACACAATTTCCTATAATTATATTTTTTTCGAATAAAGTCATAAACATAATGACTTTCTTAAATGTGTCGTTATGCTTTCATTAATTTTCATTTCATTACATTTTACTTTTTTCTCTCTTATTTTCAACTTTACAATTTTTTATAAAATAATATTACACGTAAATTAAAAAAAATTCCTTCATTTTTAACCACTCATTTAAAAAAAAAAAAAAAAACACTTCCACCTATTTTCATTTTCACAAAATGAGGGACAAACAAGGGCTATATATTGACCAAGCATGGAAAATCCTTGGTTATCATGAATAGTTAATTTCTCAACCACAGACCTCAAACGTTACAACTTGTTGCACTTGGGTCCCCATTCATTATTTGGTCACACTTAAGACCCCAGACTGTCTTTTTGGCACCCGCAAGGACAACTTTCCATCAAAAAATTGAACAAATTTCGTCCGTTTATCCTTGTTGCACTTGGATTTCTACTTTTTTATTCACCTAAAAAACTAAATGCGTTGTAGCCCTAGCTTGCTCCTTTCCTTCGTCCTTATGAGCTGCATTCTAAGATGTACGCATATGCTCGTATATGCTCAATGCGTTTTCAAAACCCCTTGTATAGGGGTATGCGGGTGATAAATACTGTCAAACCCATTTCGTTGACTTTATATGCACGCCTAAACGTTAAGATGCACACAGATTTGTATTACAAACTCTGTCAAAATGAGCCTAGCAAAATTCAATCTTTTTTAAACTTAAAAAAGTAAATTGAGCCCAATAAACATTAAATTAACCCAAACACCCAAGCCCATAAATTATATAGAACAATTTGTAGGGTTTCGACCTTTAAAAAAAAAAAATCAAAAATCAAAACAAAATTTTTCGTAGAGTTGAAAACTATCTACGTTGAGTTTGAGCCTCTTTTTTCTTTAATCTTTCTTTAGTTTTACTAGCAAGTAGCAAGTGATGATAGTAATGAATAATTATGGATTGTTGATGGTTGTAATAATGAGGAAGTTAATAATGAAATTCTATCATCTAGTAGCAAATAGCAAGTAATAATGAAGTTTATAAAAATTCTCAAGTTAAAATAAGGGAGCCAGGTGAAGATAATTTTACCTCAGATGATACAGAAGATGACTTGTATGAAGAAGAGTTTGAATTGGTATTCCATAAAGAGTTAAACAATATTTAGGTTTTTTTTTTTAAATTGTGTCAAATCTAATTGTAGGAATTGATTACCAATTAATTATAATATTTATGATTTTGAACATTATATATTTTTTTATTGAAAATTTGAAGAATATGTATGGAGTTCAAGTAATTGTAGTATTTATGTTTTGGAGATTCTTTTGGAATATTTAAGATTATGTATGATGTTTAAAGAATCTATTATTTTAGAATATTTAAAATAATTTAAAAAACTGAAAAACGCATATATTTCGAATAGGCAGGCATATTTTTATAATGCTTGATATTCGATCGAAATGTATTGTCACGCATTATGCATTTTAGAACCTTGTTTGTGAGCGTAAAAAAAGACAATTTGGGGACCTAAATGAAGTGAGGCAAGTAGTAACGTGCACGTTATAGAGGTAATAAATTGTGATATGGACAGCTCTATAGAACCCATGTGAGTTGAAGCTTTTGTTCATTTGTCCAAATTTGAGTACTTTGGTGCAACTTAAATATGCATAGGAATGTAGTTTGGGAATATAAATGCAAGTATTTATTGCATAGTGAATGAGAATATGAACAATTTTAATTAAGGTACCAACCCGCTTAGGGCCCTGAACTCATTTATCCTAGTAGTAATGTTATGATGACAGCTCGCACTCATGTGAGGGGGCTATAAGTGTACAGTCCACAGGACTATACACTTAGAAAAACCCTAATGTTATTTGGATGAAAATTAGAATTATCTTGTTTTTGTTTTTATCTCAATCTCATATTCTCTTTTATGTTTTATTTTTTCAAAAAAATATCTTATATATGAAAATGATGTTAAAAACTTCGAGAAAAATGATATTTCAGAAAGTTGATTTTTTTTTCCTGGAGCGTTTTTTATCCACAAAATAACATAAAGTTTAAAAAGACAAAAAAGAAAAAAATATTCATTTTTATTTTATTTTCAACACTCATCAGTCCACTTTTATTTATTAATTTGTAAGGCTCTGCGTTGATTAAGGAACATTTTGGTACTTTAGGAAGCAAGAAAGTAGAATCTTCAATGTATGAAATCAAACTAGGGAAGACTGCTTAAGAATCAGCCAAAATGTTATTACTGTTTATATTTTGAAAGCATTGTAATTATAATTTCCTAGTGATCAAATTTTAGATTATTTACAAGAAAAAATTGAAACAATCAGTCCAATTTTGAAGTCCATTATTGGTCTAGTTTCAGATTGATCGAATTTATTTGGTTTAAATTTGTTTTCATTCTTTAGCAATTTAAATTTTTAGATAAAAGACACAACTTGATATTAGAACACAAAAAAGTTCGAGATAGAATCTCAACGTCGTTCATGTATAAAAAGTTATACATTATTGTGCTTTAATGGTTATGATAAACCAAATATGTGTGAAAAGAACTCTGAGGCGAGATGGCACCTTTATTGTGAGTAAGCATACAATTTTTAAGGAAAAGACACGATTGGCTATAATTCATGTAAGATAAGAATTGGTTGAAAGAAATGACTTGTGCCCGTAATGGAAATGATGGATGAATTAGATAAATGCACACATTTGCAAGGCTCCAAAAAATAATAATAATAATAATGAAGGACAAAGAATTTAGGATAAAACCTGGATTAAATCGAAGGCTGACATTGGAGGATTTGGAATCCAACTTCCCATCAACCTATCCATTGTGCAAGATTTTTCTTATCAATTGCCTTTAGTGATCAAACTTTTGTGTATATATAGTCTGATTTGAAATCATTAGGGGCAAATAATTTTAGAAAGTCAAGAAATTTTTTATATAGTTTGGCATAAAAAATTGCACCATTCAATTAGTAAGGTTATCAACTTTTTGGCATCCAATGTTACTATTGCAATGCAAAAATTTCTAAAGTACATGTGAAAACTATTATTATATTCTACTTTATTGTTTAAAATGATATTTTATATAAAATAAGTAGGAGTGAGGAATAATAAGTTATTTAGAAGAATGGGGGTGATATATTTAGATTCTTACCGAATGTTGTTAAATATAAGGAGTTTAAATAAATGTTTATTTTGATAGTAAAAAACAATTAAGAGACTATTTCTTATTCTTAAATTTAAAATGAATGTTTAATTTTTTAATTTGATAATATTTCAATAAATATTCATGACAGTCTTAAGAAAAATACACTATTAGCAATATACTACGCATTTTTTAATGCACAGTGCGTATATTTACAAGGTGTATGCATATTGAGGAAAATGACTAACCCATGGTGATAATGTTAGAATTTTATGAAACTTTATTGGGAATTTTTTTTTAATACTGGATCTTTATCTCGGATCTTGAATCTCGAAACTTGAACTGCAATATTTTCATCATTGGCTTTTTCACTTTTAATCTTGAATTTTCCTTTGATTTTTAGTTCTTGTTCTTGGTTTTACTTCTTGATCCATATTCTTGATTCTTGATTATGTGTATTGGATCTTTCTCTTCAATGTGTTTTTCTTGTATTCTTGTGTTGATGGGAAGGCATAAAGAATGAAAAGTTGCATATGAATTGGCTATAACTCTATATATAGTTTTCATATGTATTTTGTACATCATAAAATACATTCCTAAATGAATTTGGTCTCTACACATATAATCCGACCCACGCTTTATTTAAATGTCATAAGCTCAACAATTTAATTTTTTTTATTAGATCACTTTAATTTCGGGCTTAACTTTAAGATAGTCTTATACCAATTAATTACTATGTAGGCTCACATGACAAATTAATAATTTCCCAACAATCTTCCATTTGGATCACATATGTTACCTTATAAATGTGTATAACCTTATAACGTCAAAACTTTTACTATCGTAACAAAATGTATCTTCGAACAATCTCATTCATCAATTATGTCAATATATATTCAAAGCGGTATTCGTTACAAATATCATAACTAAACCTTCAATGATCATGTATATCAACACAATCAAATAACATAAATCAAGTGTGGATATGTAGCGTGAAAATTACATGTAATATGATCAAAACATGCATATTTCCAACTTGGTCCTATTTTATTCATTAATAAATCAACCATAAATATTAATTAGGGCAGAAATGAACTAGATACTTTATTTTCTGAAATAAATCGAATATCCATGGATAGAATTATGTGTCTAAAATAGATAATATTCGAATACAAACTCTCACTATACTAGCATATATTCAAAAGATGCAACACCCATGTAAGCAGTATGCTCATTAAAGACCTTAGGTGATAGCCCTTAACAAACGGATCCTCAATTTCGAGTTTATCCTAATAGATTTCATAGAAACCTGAACACTCTAAATTATTTCCTTAATAACTGAA